GTTCTTCTATGTGTCTGACAATTTTATTCTTTACTATTGTTTCAACTAATTTGCCCAGTACTGATGTTGGACTTACCGGTCTGTAATTGCCGGGATCACACATAAGCTTCTAAATAATTTAGTTATGATGTCATTGTTTCTGCATCTCCACACTGGGATGTCATAGTAGCTAGGAGAAGTACTTGTGGCACCTTAGAAAATAACAAGTTTATTTGAGCATAAGCTTTCGTGGGCTAAAACCCATTTCATCGGATGTATGCAGTGGAAAAATACAGTAGGAAGATATATATATATATATATATATATATATATATATACACACAGAGAACATGGAAAAAATGGGTGTTGCCATACCACCTGTAACGAGAGTAATTAATTAAGGTGAGCTATTTATAGATTCTAGGACTGGAAGGGACCTTGAGAGGTCATCGAGTCCAGTCCCCTGCCCACATGGCAGGACCAAATACTGTCTAGACCATCCCTGACAGACATTTATCTAACCTACTCTTAAATATCTCCAGAGATGGAGATTCCACAACCTCCCTAGGCAATTTATTCCAGTGTTTAACCACCCTGACAGTTAGGAACTTTTTCCTAATGTCCAACCTAGACCTCCCTTGCTGCAGTTTAAGCCCATTGCTTCTTGTTCTATCCTTTAGAGGCTAAGGTGAACAAGTTTTCTCCCTCCTCCGTATGACACCCTTTTAGATACCTGACAACTGCTATCATGTCCCCTCTCAGTCTTCTCTTTTCCAAACTAAACAAACCCAATTCTTTCAGCCTTCCTTCATAGGTCATGTTCTCAAGACCTTTAATCATTCTTGTTGCTCTTCTCTGGACCCTCTCCAATTTCTCCACATCTTTCTTGAAATGCGGTGCCCAGAACTGGACACAATACTCCAGCTGAGGCCTAACCAGCGCAGAGTAGAGCGGAAGAATGACTTCTCATGTCTTGCTCACAACACACCTGTTAATACATCCCAGAATCACGTTTGCTTTTTTTGCAACAGCATCATACTGTTGACTCATATTTAGCTTGTGGTCCACTATAACCCCTAGATCCCTTTCTGCTGTACTCCTTCCTAGACAGTCTCTTCCCATTCTGTATGTGTGAAACTGATTGTTCCTTCCTAAGTGGAGCACTTTGCATTTGTCTTTGTTAAACTTCATCCTGTTTAACTCAGACCATTTCTCCAATTTGTCCAGATCATTTTGAATTATGACCCTGTCCTCCAAAGCAGTTGCAATCCCTCCCAGTTTGGTATCATCCGCAAACTTAATAAGCGTACTTTCTATGCCAATATCGAAGTCGTTAATGAAGATATTGAACAGAGCCGGTCCCAAAACAGACCCCTGCGGAACCCCACTTGTTATGCCTTTCCAGCAGGATTGGGAACCATTAATAACAACTCTCTGAGTACGGTTATCCAGCCAGTTATGCACCCACCTTATAGTAGCCCCATCTAAATTGTATTTGCCTAGTTTATCAATAAGAATATCATGCGAGACCGTATCAAATGCCTTACTAAAGTCTAGGTATACCACATCCACAGCTTCTCCCTTATCCGCAAGACTTGTTATCCTATCAAAGAAAGCTATCAGATTGATTTGTTCTTTCCTGGCTATTCCCTATCACCTTACCACCTTCCAAGTGTTTGCAGATGATTTCCATAATTACTTGCTCCATTATCTTCCCTGGCACAGAAGTTAAACTAACTGGTCTGTAGTTTCCTGGGTTGTTTTTTATTTCCCTTTTTATAGATGGGCACTATATTTGCCCATTTCCAGTCTTCTGGAATCTCTCCCATCTCCCATGATTTTCCAAAGATAATGGCTAGAGGCTCAGATACCTTTTCTATTAGCTCCTTGAGTATTCTAGGATGCATTTCATCAGGCCCTGGTGACTTGCAGGCATCTAACTTTTCTAAGTGTTTTTTAACTTATCTGCTAAACCTACCCCCTTCCCATTAGCATTCACTATGTTAGGCATTCCTTCAGACTTCTCGGTGAAGACCGAAACAAAGAAGTCATTAAGCATCTCTGCCATTTCCAAGTTTCCTGTTACTGTTTCTCCCTCTTCACTAAGCAGTGGGCCTACCCTGTCTTTGGTCTTCCTCTTGCTTCTAATGTATTGATAAAAAGTCTTCTTGTTTCCCTTTATTCCTGTAGCTAGTTTGAGCTCATTTTGTGCCTTTGCCTTTTTAATCTTTCCCCTGCATTCCTGTGTTGTTTGCCTATATTCATCCTTTGTAATCTGTCCTAGTTTCCATTTTTTATATGACTCCTTTTTTATTTTTTAGATCATGCAAGATCTCGTGGTTAAGCCAAGGTGGTCTTTTGCCACATTTTCTATCTTTCCTAACCAGCGGAATAGCTTGCTTTTGGGCCCTTAATAGTGTCCCTTTGAAAAACTGCCAGCTCTCCTCAGTTGTTTTTCCCCTCAGTCTTGATTCCCATGGGACCTTACCTATCAGCTCTCTGAGTTTACCAAAATCCGCCTTCCTGAAATCCATTGTCTCTATTTTGCTGTTCTCCCTTCTACCCTTCCTTAGAATTGCAAACTCTCTATGATTTCATGATCACTTTCACCCAAGCTGCCTTCTACTTTCAAATTCTCAACAAGTTCCTCCCTATTTGTTAAAATCAAGTCTAGAACAGCTTCCCCCCAGTAGCTTTTTCAACCTTCTGAAATAAAAAGTTGTCTGCAATGCAGTCCAAGAATTTGTTGGATAGTCTGTGCCCCGCTGTGTTATTTTCCCAACATATATCTGGATAGTTGAAGTCCCCCATCACCACCAAATCTTGGGCTTTGGATGATTTTGTTAGTTGTTTAAAAAAAGCCTCATCCACCTCTTTCACCTGGTTAGGTGGCCTGTAGTATGACATCCTAGCATGACATCACCCTTGTTTTTTACCCCTTTTAGCCTAATCCAGAGACTCTCAACACTTCCGTCTCCTATGTCCATCTCCACCTCAGTCCAAGTGTGTACATTTTTAATATATAAGGCAACACCTCCTCCCTTTTTCCCCTGTCTATCCTTCCTGAGCAAGCTGTACCCATCCACACCAACATTCCAATCATGTGTATTATCCCACCAAGTTTCAGTGATGCCAACAATGTCATAGTTGTATTTATTTATTAGCACTTCTAGTTCTTCCTGCTTATTACCCATACTTCTCGCATTTGTATATAGGCATCTAAGATACTGGTTTGATCTTGCCTCCCAGTTTTGTCCTGACCCTTCTTTCTCTCTGCCAATATAGCCCACACTCCCTCTTGTTTCCGACCCATCCCCCAAGTTTCCATGTTCCCCACTTACCTGTGGGCTTTGCTCACTTGTCCCCGTCGAACCTAGTTTAAAGCCCTCCTCACTAGGTTAGCCAGTCTGTGTCCAAATAGGGTCTTTTCCCTCCTTGAAAGGTGAACGCCATCTCTGCCTAGCAGTCCTTCCTCGAATAGCATCCTGTGGTCGAGGAAGCCAAAGCCCTCCTGGCGACACCATCTTCGCAGCCAGGCATTCACCTCCATGATACATCTGTCTCTGCCCGGGCCCCTACCTTTGACAGGAAGAATTGAAGAGAATACCACCTTCGATTTTTGTAGTGATAATCGGGATGGCCCATTCAGTTGACAAGAAGGTGTGAGTAACAGTAGGGGGGAAAAATTAGCATGGGGAAACAGTTTTTTTACTTTGTATAATGACCCATCCACTCCCAGTCTTTATTCAAGCCTAATTTAATGGTGTCTAGTTTGCAAATTAATTCCAATTCTGCAGTTTCTCGTTGTAGTCTGGTTTTGAAGTTTTTGTTGTTGTTGGGGTATTGCGACTTTGAGATCTGTAATTGAGTGACCAGGGAGGTTTAAGTGTTCTCCAGCTGGTTTTTGAATGTTAGAATTCTTGACATCTGATTTGTGTCCATTTATTCTTTTGCGTAGAGACCCTCAATTGGCGTAAATTGATGTAGTCACTTGATTTTTAATGGAGCCATGCCTGTTTACACTAGCTGAAGATCTGGCCCCATATGAGCAAATATTAAGTAAAATCTTGGGTGGTGTTTTTGTTTTTGTTTTGTTTTTTTTTGGAGGGGGGGTTCTTTTATGTGTCTGGTTCTCTTTAGGGAAAGGGAATGGAGAAGGAGCCTGCTTTGTGCAGTGTGTGGAGATTTTTGTTGCAGTGGGGATTTTTTATTGGCATCTTCCAAGTCCTTTCAAAACAGTGATCTATCACCACAGATGGAGTATAGGGTTTTTTTTTTTTTTTTTCTTTTTAATTTATTTAGAGTCAATTTAAATCATCCAGCCTGCTTCCAAAGCTTGGAAGTGTGTCCTCCATATAAGTTCCACTTCACCCATCTTCTTTCCCTCCCACACCAGGTTGGTTTTTTGTAAAACCTGACAGGTGTGGTGTGAGCACAATAGCAGAAACCAGAAACTCCTGTATTTTAGGCCTGATCTACACTAGAGCCTGACTTACACGTAAAGTTGCACTGGTTTAACAAAAGGTGTATTCTGCAGAGCAAGATAAACAGCTACAGGTTTAAACCAGTCGAACAGTGCCCAGGCAGGGATTTGCAACAGTTGGGCTAAATCCTTTTAAAACCAATTTAAGTTTAAACTTCTGCAACTTCTGCGTGTAGATAGCCAACACACATGCGTGCGTGCGTGCGCGCGCGCACACACAAATGTTTTCCTATGGTTAACAGAATTTTAAGCATCTTCTGGCACCTAGTGTAGACCAGATTTAACACCACCTTATAAAAATATTTCTGTTTCATGGTCAATGCTAGGGGAAAACATGTTTTTCAACCTCATCTTCACTAGATGCTTGGTGGTGTTTAAAACCTTGTAAGCTAATTTTTTTTTTTTTTTTTTTTTTTTTTTTAAGAAGAAAAATAATCCACTGCTTTCAGACACACCCCTTCAGTCTAGATTAGATCTTGCTATTGATTCTGACACAATCTCTGTGCCTTAGAGTAAATTGCTTACCTTTGGTCTCCAGATACCGCCTTAGTGAAAAAATGGGACAAGAAATACTTCGCACAGCCACCAAGTGACTGACTGATATTTGTAAAGCTATTTGAAGATCAACATTTCTAGGTATTTATTATTGTTAAAAAGTTTCAATCACTCTGTAGTAACTTGCTTTCCTTAGCAGATTTTTCAGATTTAAAAATGGAAACTGACCATGGTTCAGGGAACTTGGTAAACAGAAACATTCTCCTTGCTGCATTTTAGCTAATGGCTCCTCTTTGTACCCGATTTGCTTTGACTTTATTACTTTGTCACTGTGGGTTTTTTCTTTTTTTAAAAGGATTGTCTTTTCAGTCTTATGACATTTAAAGGGTCTCTTCCCACTCTAAAAGTGGGAAAACTCCCATTGATTTCAATGCTGCATGTGAGGTCACACCACGCAGAGGATGCCATTTTGAAGAGCGCCTTGTCAGCAGGACCTCTCGTGCACTGTGTGTGTGTGAGGTCCTGCCAGCAGGAGCAGGGCACTCTTAAAAAGGGCGTTTTCCATGCATGAAACTCGATAAAATCATGTTCAGTTTTGTCTCGGTACCAGACAAGGGATAAATGATAAAAAAACAGAACTGCTCATTTTAAATCAGGATGAATGGTCTGCCTACTCCCTTCCTTCAGGTGGAACGGGGAGTCTTGTTTCATGATACCATCACTCAATCGTCACCCAGCTCTCTGTAGTCCAGGGGTCGGCAACGTTCGGCACGCGGCTCGCCAGGGTAAGCACCCTGGTGGGCCGGGCCAGTTTATTTACCTGCTGACGCGGCAGGTTCGGCCGATCGCAGCCCCCACTGGCCGCGGTTTGCCGTCCCGGGCCAATGGGGGCGGCGAGAAGCCGCGGCCAGCACATTGCTCGCCCACGCCGCTTCTCGC